GCTTGCGGTTCATTTGACATGGCTCCCCCTCGTTTGTGCTCGAACTCTCTTGGCTCATTTTTGCATATTGTTTATGTTGTGCAACTGTGATGTGGTTGAGTGTTGACTTTTGGATTGTGTTACTCCTCTTCTGTCCACATCCTCTTTTCGCTCTCCTTCTTACCCTCTCCTTTGACCCCATGGCCAAGTGCCCCTACCACCAATTGCTTGCCATTTTCTCTGCTTGCTTTTGTCATCCGTTGAGTGTCTTGAATCTGTGACCTTCCTGCTCTTGTACCTTCTCTCAAGACTTCTGTGTTGGTTTTCAGCTTCAATACATGTGGTAGCGATTCAAAAAAAAAAAGCAATGTAGGTGCAGGGGCCAGGAGGCCAGGGGACAGAAGGATGCAATGTGGAGCAGAGACCAAGCAACCACATGTGCACCAGATGACTTGGGTGGGGTTCGAACCCACAACCTTCGCCTTGCAAGGCGGCAGTGTTGCCACTATGCCAAAACCACTGGCGGCTGTCAGGCCGTGCTTGCGAAGCAGTAGCTTGAGCTGATTGTGAACGGTGAAGAGTCAAGTGCGAATGATGCACGCATAGCCATTGTCTTTTTTTTTAAAAAATACAAGCAACCTATGTACTGAGGGAGATCTAACCATTGATACACAAAGACACAAGCTCAATACACACAAACACACAACTCCTTGGACTTGGCACTTGGGTACTTGCTTGGGGCATTGGACCTTTGGTTTGATTCGGTCTTGTACAGCCACCAACAAAGGGTGCGCAAAGGGAAGAACTGCTGTTATAAATACATGCAACGTGGTTAACAAAAAAAAAAAAAAGCAAAGGGAAGAACAACACTTATGGTGGAATCCGCTATAACTCAATGCAATACACCCTTACAATTGAATACCGTCGATTCTGCTGCCCAAATGTCTTCCAATGCCCCCCAAGTGGGCCCTGGCGACCCTACGCCGCCCCAGCACAGGGGAGACAACCGCGAAACGCGCCCTGCCACAGGTGATCAGCAACAAACCCACGACAACCAGGAATTGAAAGCTGGCAAAGACGACGGCTTCATTGTCGTCCAGTGCAAGTACAAAGTCCGCAACGCCGCCCCGGCACCCTGCCGTGGTGATACGCGGGCTGAAATCGGATTGGCTGCCAGCTCCCTCCACGAATTTGCGGTCGTTGTGCACAAGGATGCAATCAAAAGCAACATTGACCTCTCTTCCACAGGTCGGATTGCCCTTGAACGCCAAGGTATTGATTATACAGCGCACCCCAAGTCGCACAATTTTCAATACATGTGCCAAGTGGTTTTGGCACAGTGGTAACACTCCCGCCTTGCAAGGCGAAGGTTGTGGGTTCGAACCCCACCCAAGTCGCTTGGTCCTCCCAAGACAAGCATCGCATGGCCCTCCTGTGGTCATGCCTATGTCAAAGCACAAGACATCCCAAGTTCCCTTCCCATCTTCCAAGCAATTGTGTCATGTGTGGTTGTGTGCTTGAATGTCATTATAAGTGTAATTGTCTGAGGTGAAATTTTTTAAAAAAAAAAAAAACAATTTTCAATACATGTGGTAGTGATCCAAAAAAAAAAAACCAAGTCGCACAAGCTCTTGCGTGGTGGGCCCCAAGGCCAAGACGTTTACAAAGTGATCTTCAGCACGACAGCGACCCCACCGGATACAATCATTGTCCAAAACGTTGACAGGTGCCAAGTTATCAAACATCTGTGGGACAAGGTCGATGGCCAAATGCGCCAGCTCAAGCTCTGGGCAGGACCGATTGGCTTTGCAGCTACCCATGATGAAGTCCGTGGCGTGCTTCGCCAAACACTTCCAAGTACAAGCAATCCGAGGCAGGGCTGACGTGCTCCGTTGGCGGTTCTTCAAGGTCGCCTTTGCAACTGAAGATGATTTGCGCGCGGCACAGACATCATCGCCCTTGTATTACCGGCGTCAGTATGTATCGTTCTACCAATCACTTGAGGATTTCAAGGTCAAATACGTGGATCCTGCTCTTGGCATCAAGATGCTTTGCGGCAAGGATAACCTCTCCATCCTCCAGACTATGGAGCCAAACGGGCGGGTGATCGCGGTCGACAACTCCCGCGCCCGAGACTTCTCTTTTGTGGTTTGGCAGGTGGCAAACGATGATGAGCGGGCCAAGGTGCCGCAGCAGGATGGCTGCCTTAACGCAAACGGCTGTCGGGTTCAAGCCTACCCAAGGACGGCAAAGTTGTGCTTTGCGTGTGGGTCATTGGAGCATCTCCGCGTCGAGTGTCAAGCCCTTAAGGCATGGCAAGCAGCCGAAAAGGCCAAGAAGGATCAAGCTGGGTCAGTGCCTGTTCGCAGGTCAAGTGGACCCCAAGTACTGCCAGGCCAGTCATATGCTGCAGCTGCAGGTGGACGCTCAAGAAATGCGCGAGACGAACAGCAGGCCGACCAACCAAATACCCGCGACTCGCCAGATCGCATTACTCTGCTCGAAGCGGAAAACTCGCGTTTGCGTGCTGCGCTGGCGGCATCAGAAGAGAAGGTGGCAGCGAAAACCCAAAAAGCAACGGACGCCTGCTTGAAGGCATTTGTGCAAAAGCAAAGTATGCTCCTCACAACGCTCGTGACATCTCTGTTGGCCATTGCTGGCGGCGATCAAGCTGCTGCCGCCTCTGTTTCCAGAGCCCGGGCGGAATTCGCAAAGGAGAGCGAAGCGATCTTTGTGGATGACGAGATTACAGACTGACAACCAAGCAGCTGACATTCCTCAAGCCCAATGATGGTTCCACCCAACCGACCTGTCGACTTTTTGGATTTACCGCATCGGACAACGGCTTTTGGTACTGCTTCAATCTCACCAAAGAACAACCTTACTAATAGACGTAAGCCGCATTGGCGGCAACCACAGACTGCAAGACTCCAACCGAGCGGCAACAACACTGATGCTGACTCCCATGCAACACACGCCGAGTTCCCCACCAACATCCTAGTGACCAACATCAGTGGCTCCCAAGCGCACGACCGCCTTGTCGAGACCCTCAACTACGCGCAACGACAACACGCAGGTATTGTGGTAACCACAGAAACCAAGCTGTCCGACAAGGCGGCCCGCGGCCTGAGTTGTTTTTTTTTTAAATTTTACCTCAGGACAATTGTACATATGGCGACAATCCATGAACAAATACACAACACAAACTTGAAGCTTGGAGGGACTTGGACGGCTGGAGTTTTTTGGCGGGTACGATATGTTTTTTGGCGGGTAACAAATGGCATTGGGCGGGTACAATTTTGGACTTGGCGGGCAACTTTTTGGACATAGGACACGGCGGGTAAGCAATAGGACTTGGCGGGTAATCAATAGGACTCGGAGGGTAAGCAATAGGACTCGGCGGGTAAGTTGGATCGGGCAATTTTTTTGTTGAGATGTTTTCCGATCACGCCTGTTCTTGAGCTCAGTGATCAACAAACACATGTCTCACGCTGAGACCACAACCCACATCGATTCTCCCTCTGTGCTGGACCTCCTGCCGGGACCACATTCAAGAGCCATGAATCGACCGCAATGACCGCATCCAAGTACACTACCGCCCTTGTCCCCACCGCTCAGCTCCCCGAGCAGGCGGGCGGCGGCTTTGTGACCGATGCCCACACACTGTCAGCAATCATGCCAGACACGGACTCCGTAGTCATTTCACACTGCTTGGGCACAAATCGCTCCAAGGCTGCCTACTGCAAGCTGTGCAAAACCCACGACCCTGACAGGTACCGGCCTGATCGAAACGCCCCTCCCGACAACCACGGCAACTGCTCTGTGTACCTCGAGTGCCGCTGCTCCGCAACATGCGAAAAGGTCTACTTGCTTAAGATATGCTCACGGTTTTATGCACTCTATCACTGTCCAACAGAAGTATGTTGCTTTCAGCCGGGACAGATGCTGGAGAAGAACATGTTTGCTAACACACATCCGCTTGTATATATGACCACAGGCTCACGCAGTTGCAACTCCCCTGAGTGGCCGAGTTGAGCCTTCTGGCCACGCAAAGCGCCCACGTCTTGAAGGCCGTCGCGGGCTGAGCATTCAAGAAAAAAGTTTGATTGATTCTGCAAATCAAAGAGGTACATTTGCATCTTTCTCTTTGGTTTCAATCTGACACACTGCTTCTGGTCGCCCTTCTCATCATATCTATTGCTGCATTCTTTCACACTGGCAGGTGACGGCTCCCTTGCTATCTCCCTCACGCTCCTTGATGCCAGCCAAATCAATGAGCAACACTGTCTCGCTGACCGCCAAAACTTCAACAAGATTGACAACTATATCAAGAAGGAAAATCACCGCGAGCGGCTCAACCAGCATCCACGCCTTGAAGCGCTTTACAAAGCTCACAAGTATGACGCGTCAATTGATGACAATGACCCAAATCAAGTATTCATGGTCATTCCCAATGACTTGGATGGTGTTGGTTACGGCACCGAAGAAAGCCCTTTCTCGCTCTTAATTTTCACCTGCAACACCCTCCGCAACCTTGCGAAAGTGGCCGAGCATGCCGGTGGCATGGAACACACTGTGATCGCCTTTGACGGAACGTTCAAGACAAACACGCTCAAGTACCAGCTCTTTGTCATCACCGCCATGGATCTTGGGCATCAAGGGCACACCATTGCACATGTGGTCATGTCGCATCGCAGGGCCTCTGATTATGTTGCTGTGTTTGACTCGTTGGTTGGTGTGTTGCAAGACGAGGTCGAGTGCGAGTTTGATGTGTCGCAGTGGGCAGTCACTATGTCTGATGCCGAGGATGCAGTTGGTTTGGCCATTGAGCAGGTGTTTCCCGATGCGGACATTGGCATGTGCTGGTTCCACTTGCGTCAGTGCATCGAAAAGCGCACTGTTCCCAAGCACATGAAGCTTGTATTGCGCATGGTTTACTCGCTGCATTGGACCGAGTCCATTGAGCAGTTTGAGTCGCGTCTTGTTGACTTGTATCACCACCTTACCGACGAGACGCCAGTGGTTTTGGCACAGTGGTAACACTCCTGTCTTGCAAGACAAAGGTTGTGGGTTCGAATCCCACTCAAGTCGCTTGGCCCTCCATCTATCTTGTCCACCTCCATTTGTGAGTTGAGGCCCTGGTCCACCAATGTGTGTGGTTGCTTTAGCCAAGCCAAGCATCAAGTTAACAAGCACCCATCAAGTGCATCAAGTCCTTGGGAGTTGTGTGTAGGTGGTATGTGTGAGTCTATGTTACTTGTGTAAATACTTGTGTCTCTGCTAAATGCAAAGATGGTTGTATGTAAAAAAAAAAAAAAAAAAACCTTACCGACGAGACCGTGTTTGATTCTCCAGCCAAGGAAGAGGATGCCCGTGCGTTTTGGATCTACTTTGTGGGTGAGTGGACTCGCGGATATCCCGTTGACTTTGTCCACCCAACCAACCCCCCTGCCCCCATGCGCCGCGGGCGCAGACGTGGTGGGCCCGATCAAGATCAAATTGTTGCTGCCAACAAGTCTGTTTCATGATGGTTCAGTTGGCGTGTGTTTGACTACCCGGCTGGTGTTGTACGGACAAACAACACACTTGAAGCCAAGCACTCTGTATTCAAAAAGCAGTTCAAGATGGCGGTCGCACAATCACTGGTTGATGCGGTCAATTGCAGTATGCAATGTGTCAATCGCCAACCTTTGTTTGAAGCACCTGTTCGCCTTCTCCCGCAGGTTCCCGTATGTTGCTTCCAAGTTGTTTCGATCTGTTTCATCCTTTCATCCATGGCTTCCACACTGACTGAATTCCTTTTCATGACAGGCTTCCGACATTGACGAGGCACATCGCTGGGCAGTCGACAACACTCATGATGTTTCCCGCCGAGCCAGCCAACACCATTGGACGATCACGTACTCTGCAGCAATTCCGTCATTTGCATATGGTGGCTCTGCCTATGGTGTCCGTGGGGTGACCAGTGAGGAGATTCCAGAGACAGTTCAAGTTGTTGTGCGCCTTCCGCGCCAAACCACCATGGACGCGGAGCTTCCTACTTGCGAGTGCCTTTATGCGTTTCGAAACGGATGGTGCCACCACATTCTTGCTTCTTCTGCTCGGTATTCTTTAAAGCTTCATCCTGCCCTTCCAACCTTGGCGTTAATGCAAAGTCGGGGCAAGCCTGGTGCAAGTCGTGGTGGTCGCCCTCGCAACTCTGGCCCTGCACTTTCAATGGATTGATTGTTTTGAGAGTGCTCCATTATTTGCTTTTTTTTTGGTGTTGACGTTACCATGCCTCTTCCTCATTGCTCCCTTCATGTCAAACATCTCCATAGCATCCTCATTCTTGGACAGTATTTTAAATACTTATGTATTGTTCCCTTAATAGTCAAGCGATGTTCTGACTGTCTGCCTCAGTCAGATCAGCAGAAGCTCAACATTTTGTCAAAAAATTGCCCGATCCAACTTACCCGCCGAGTCCTATTACTTACCCTCCGAGTCCTATTGCTTACCCTCCGAGTCCTATTGCTTACCCGCCAAGTCCTATTGCTTACCTGCCGTGTCCTATGTCCAAAAAGTTGCCCGCCAAGTCCAAATTCATACCCGCCCAATGCCATTTGTTACCCGCCAAAAAACATATCGTACCCGCCGAAAACTATTAACCGGACTTGGACTTGGGTCTTGTACTTGACACAGGCGGGAACACAGAGGGACACGTGGTGCTTGCCAAGAGGGGGCTCAGATTGAAGTTGAGCAGGCGGGATCCTCCCCAGACAGCTTGGACCTGAAACAACTTGAATTTAACTTGTGCTTGGCAACCAAACCAAATCCATGCACAAGCGAGTGGCAAGGACTATAGAAACACTATACCAGAATTGCCGCCTGTGGGGTTTGAACCCACGACCTCCACAGTGGACGCCCGGCGCCTTAACCACTGGGCCACGACAGCCCCCCGCATCCTGAGTTGTGCAACCCTTTGTTGGGGTTGTGTAGGAGAGTGTATGTGTATGTCGTTCACGTGTGTGCATGTGATGAGTTATCGAGTTGTTGTGTGTTCGTGTTTGTGACCCATGACCCAGCCGTTGGGCACCAACCCATGGTTAGCTCTTCAGATTATTCTGGGTCGTTTAGTATATATATACTACCCGTGCTTGATGACCTTCTAGTCTTACCTATGCAAGCACGCCAACATTTTTTTCATCAAGTTCTGCCAACAGAATATCCCAGCACACAACAACCTGGCCGTCGTTGCCTAGCCCCATCCATCGTCGCTTAGCTCCACTCATTGCCGACTCATTCCATCGGCCACAAATCCAACCACACTTTCGTCTCGCTCAACGTTGCACTTTCAAACAACAATGGCCAACCTGACGGATCAGCAAATCGACGATATCGGTGCCCTTGAGCCCCACGCCATCCTCGAATGGCTTCAATCGGCAGGCGACGCTGCCAGCAAGCGCTTCTTCAAGCGCCAAGCCATCAAGCTCACCAACACCGAACTGGTGACGCCCAACTCAACGGTCCTGCTGCGGGCCAAGCAATGTTATGCCAGGCAGCAACAGCAACTAGAGGAGCAGCAAGACCAACTTGAGCGCGACTACGAGGCGAGGTCGGAGTAAAATGTTATAGTACACCCTCGCCAAGGATATTACATTACAGGCGTGATGCCACTAGTACACCTCATGTATTACAGGCCCTGCTGTGTAACAATTTGGCACTGTAACATTGCATGGCAAGAGTCGTGTAACAACAGCTAGAGCATTGTAACAGTACAGCATTGCGCAGGAAACGTATCAAAAAAAGTGCTTTCATTTGAAGACACCTGCAACATAAGATTACATACATGGCCGACATGGAACAAAACATACGAAAGACAAGACAACACAGAAGACACAGTCAATAATCTGGCAACGTACCCTCAACGTACCCAACATACCACGGGCTCACCAACACTGCACTAACTCGGCCCTCACTGGAACGCACTAAACTGCTCGAGCAACTCCTTCATCTCGCGCTTGTACTGAACCACCTGCTTGCGCTCATCCAGAGTCAGCACTTCCTCCTTGAACTGATCAAGCGTCATTTCTGTACAAGAACAAAACGGGATTAAAAAACTTTGTGAGCAAATGATTCCGCTGCACCAAGGATTGAGACATACCAGCAAGTACAGCAAGGCGCTCGGGTGACAGGACGCCTGCTTGAGGCGCAGGCAACAGCCCGGGCAATGGGGCAATGGAAGGTGATGAAGCGCGAGTGCGCTTCCGCTTGGTGGTGGGACCGGTAGATGTTGCCTGCTCTGTGTTGGCATCGGAGGCGGTGCGCTTTGCAGCACGCGCTTGACGACGTTTGGCGTTCTTGGCGTCCCTGGCGGTGGCCGACGAGCCGGTCTGAGTGGGAATGCCCGTCTTCTTTGCCAACTTGAAAATCTCGTAGTCAATACAATCGGCCTCGTACGCACGGGTGACATACTTGGGCAAAGGTAGGCCAGTCCCAATGACCTTATGATCACGGGCGTTGCTTGATTCAATGACGTTGGTGTCAGGTCGGATGTCGGCGTGAATGAGCAAAGGAATACCTGTATAAGCAGGCGACAGGCCAGCACGAACCCACGGCAATGAATACTTTTGAACCCAGTTGGCAATCGTCTTCGTGTTGCCCTCGCGGTCGACGTATGTTTCGCTCGTCGCCAACAGTTGCTCGAGAATATCGTCATAGACAGCACGGGTACGGGCATTCGACAAGGAAAGCATTAACCTCTTGGTAGGCTCGGAAAAGCCTGTTTGGCCAACGTTGCGGCCAAAATGGACGGTGCAGATGACCAGTAGCTTGCCAACGGCGTCCTGCCAATCGTCGCCGATGAGCGGCTCGCGCTCCAATGCGAATTCGCCAATGCCCTTGGCTTGCCCAGAATCCATGTCGACACGGATGGCGACAATCTCGTGCTTTGGAACGCCAACATCAACACCGGCAGCCTCGCGCACCCAACGAAACGCACCAAATTGCAAACGGTCACCCAAATACTTTTGGTACGCGGAGCACAGACTCTTCATGAAGCGCTTGTACGTATCTTCGCCTTGACCCTTGACCCAGGCCCTTGCAACAGTCACCGTCCGCCGGAAAGTCTCGTCATACACGGTGCACTTGATCATGTTGACGTCGCTGCGGGTGCAGGCGAAAGTCATGTCAATGTCAATAACGCGGCCCCGAGAAAGAGCATGCGCGCCCTGGTTGAGCATGGCGAAAGAAAAAAAGTCCTGATCCGTGACGACAACCTCTTGTAGGTACTTGGACCGCCCAGACGAGACAAGCATCTGCATCAATGCAAGTTGGTCATCAACAACGTTGTTGAGTTTGGGGCCAAGGTTGTTGCGGATCGAGCCCGAGCGCACAAGGGATGGATGCAAGGCCAGATCCCGCGAGCGCATCAACGCGAGTGCTGCAAAACGTTGCTTGGCGGAAACCCGCTCGTCGAAATCGGTCAGGCCACCAATTAGTTGTTGAATCGTCGTATCCAAATGCGCTGTCTTTCCGGACGGCGGGGGTGGTGGGTGGTTGTGGACATGACGGCAGAGAATGAGAGAGTATGGAAAGTCGGGATCCACCGGGTAGAACACCAAAAACTTGCACTCGCATTGGGTAGGCATCTTTTTCATGGTATTGCGGGCCAGGTCCTTGTTGGTGTCGTAGTGCACCTCGGCTATGTGGCGAAAAACATGGATTCAACGTGAGTGGGTGCTGCAATGTGCATAGAAGGAGCGCAGTATACGTACGACATTGATCTTCACCTTGCATTTTCAGCACAGTGCGACACGCAATGGGCTCGTACGGATTGAACGTCACTTCCTCACCATCGATGAGGCGCTTGATTGTATTGTCGTCAACGCCACGAGGGAGCGGGAAAATGCTGTGCGTGGAAGGTGGATCCGATGGCGAGTACTCGCTGCAGCCAACAAAGCCGCTCACGTAGCCAGGGCGCTGGAAGAAAAAGATTATTGCGTCAGATCCTCATCGCGCGAAACAATGTGGAGGCAGAAAAACATACCGCTTCGCAATACAAAGCTGTCGCCTCATCATTGCCGCACTTGCAGGCCCATTCCTTGACGTGC